ACATCCCCCCACAGGTGGGACAGGCCACCACCTTCTCCTGCGTGTGGCTGCGCAGGTGCTCCCGCAGTTTGCAGCGGCCCTTGAAGCTGCAGTCACAGTCTGGGCACAAACAACAGCACAGTGAGACCCCTCACAGCTGGGCCACGACACACAGCCTTGACTGATTACCAGCCTTCTTCCCTCTCTTTGGGGCAGCAAGGCCCCAGAAAAGCCCAGGGAGCAGGGGCACAGCAGGGTGAGGTTGCTGGTGTGCAACTGGCACGACCCCTACCAGCAGTTTAGGCAACTGCACAAACACAGGGGGAAATTACAGATAAAAATAAACTCCAGCCTTTTCTTCTAGGGACTAATTAAATATTAATGAGAAGTTCGTTGTCAAGCACTCAGCTGGATGCCCTGAAGCAAATCCTACAGGACATGTCCCTGTCAGCACCACGGACACGCATAGTTTTGAAGGTCCAGGGGGCTCCCTGAAACCCTCCCAGGGAGCAGAGAGCTCTCCTGTACCACATTTGCAACCCAGCCCCGTGCAAAGCCCTGGCCCTGGAGCCACACACAAACCTTTCCAGCCACAGAGCACCACGTGGTTCTCCTTCCCTGCTGCCTTGTACTCGGAGCAGAAGCTGTGATCCTCCACGTGCCGGTAGAACCACTCGGGGTTATCAAAGGATCTCTGGGGAGGAAGGACAGAAAAAAACAGGGTCAAAAAAAGAGATCAGCACAAGCTCAGGTGCTTTCACACAGGCCCCAGCAGAGCCAGCAGGTCGGGGTGCAGGGCAGCAGCTGCTCTCCCTCCCTCGGTTAGACCAAGCCCCCTGTTCTCACCTCACAGTACTCCCACAGGCACAGGAAGTTCTCCTGGATCTCAGGGATGATGTTCCTGCTCTGGAAGTCCAGCTGGCAGTGGCTGACGTCCCCCTGGCTCTGCAGGGCCCGCAGCCCCCACTGCTTGAGCTTGGTGTGGTAGCAGTGGAAGTAGACGTGGCGCACGAGGTCGGAGGGGCTCTCCGGGGAGCAGAACCCACAGTCCTGCCACAGGCACGTGTACTCCTCTGCAACACACAGGACACACACAGCCTGAATCACAGGATCATCAGCCAGGCTGGGAAAGACCTCTGAGATCACCCAGTCCACTGGTCAGGGGGAAACCCTCCGGGGGGAAAAAACACCACGGGGGTTTTGCTGAGACTCGGTGCCTCCCCACCTGAGCACACACAGCCTTTGCCAGCTGCTGCTCTTGGTATTTTTCACTTCCTCTGAAGGAAAAGAGTAACTACACTTCAAAAAAGCCCAGCAGCCTCCCCTGGGAAGGTAGGTCATGTGACAGGCCAAATTATCTCCAAGCCAATGCTGGGGGAAGGAAAATGCAACAGGCAGCACAGCTCTGCTCAGGGAGGGGAGGAGGAAGGAGGCCAGAAACCTTCTCTTCTCGTGGAATCACAGGTTGGAAAAGACCTCCAGGATCATCCAGGTGCCCGATGCCCACCTTGTCCCCCAGCCCAGAGTCCTGAGTGCCACGTCCAGTCCTTCCTTGGACACCTCCAGGGGTGGGGACTCCACCACCTCCCTGGGCAGCCCCTTTCCATGAATAAACCCCTCCTGATATCCAACCTGGCCCTCCCCTGGCACAGCCTGTCCCTTGTTCCCTGGGAGCAGAGCCCGACTCCTGCCCCCCCCCGGCTCCTCCCTCCTGTCGGGGAGCACTGGAGAGCGAGAAGGCCTCCAGCCCCTTACCCAGAGGGTCTATCTCGTCGCGGTGCTCGCCGGGGAGGTGCTGCTGCAGGTGCTGCGCCACGTGCCCGCAGAACTCCTCCATCCCCGCCGCCACGTACGAGCACTGCTGCCACTCGCACTGCAGCACCACGGCCCCCTTCCCGCCGGCCCGGCCCGGCGGCATGGCCGGGGCCCCCCGGAGCCGGGCAGAGCCACCGAAGCCTCCTGCGGCCAGCCGGGAGCGGCTCGGAGCCCCGCGGGGTGCGGGGAGAGCGGGGACGAGACCTCCGGCACCGCCGCCCCTCCGCCCGCCTCTGCCCCGCAGGGGGGCTCCGGAACGCGACGGACCGCGCCCGACAGCCAATGGGAACCGCCCTCGCCTCGGCCCGCCGGCCAATCGCCGCGCGGGAAGGCGCCGCGCGCGCGGCACCCGAGTGGGCCCGCCGGGAAAGCGGCGCCGCCGCGCTGAGGTTCCGGGGCGCTTTGGGTCCCACCAGGGAGAGGGAGGATTCCGAACAGCCTCGGGATTAATTCCCGTTTGGGGTTGGGAAAACCCGCACCCCGGCAGCCAGGGCAGCTCTCCGCAGAATCACTGAATAGCTGGGGTCAGAGGGCACCTCTGCAGATCATCCAGTCAACCCCCCCCCCCTTGCCCAGGCAGGGTCACCTGGAGCAGGTGACGCAGGAGCACATCCCGGTGGGGTTGGGATGTCTCCAGAGGCTCCACGCTCTCCCTAGGCAGCTGTTCCAGTGCTCTGCCACCTCCATGGGAAGACGTTCTTCCTCGTGTTGAGGTGGAACTTGTGTTTCAGTTCGTGGCACCGGTTGCCCCGAGTTTCCCCATCCCTGGAAATGTCCAAGGGCAGGTTGTAGCAACCTGGTCTATGGAAGGTGTCCCTGTCCATGGCTGGTGGGTGAGACTGGATGATCTTTAAGGTCCCTTCCAACCCAAACCATTCTGAGTTCATTTTTGGTGCCTCCAGGACGCTTCCTTGCCTAAACAAGAGCCCTCGCACTGAGAACCCACCGAGCTGGACACAAACCACGGCAGTGCTGCACCTCCTACCATGAGATAATGCCACAAATTCCCTTTACTCAGCAGCGAGGAGATGGATTGAAATGACAGTTTGAATTAAACAAACCTACACTGACTGTTACATCTGCTGTGCTGGGCTTTTTCTTGTGACACAGAACGGAGGCACAATCCTCAGAGTTTGCTTTGGCACTGGCAAACGTCTTATAAAAACAAATGGGATTTATAAAATGTGCCCCAAAGAATGTTGTGCACAATGGTTTCTGTAACTCCTGTCCCACACAGTGGCTCTGCCCTTGATGTGAGTGGGAAGCACGTGCCCAGACCCATTAAATTATAAAGAAAACCTGGGTGTGATGCTTTTTCAAATGAAAACACAAGGTAAGAGGTTGATCTCACCTCAAAGAAGGGCTGGCTGAGTTTTTGCTTCGTCTCTGTTTGTTTGTTTCCTGCGAGGTTGGTTTGTTTTCAGTGCAATTACTTTGCAATCAGCACAGAGAACACCTGGACTGACTAAACACTGCAAAGCCTGAATGGGGCTGGGATTTAATGTGTGTATCCTCTGAAGATTCATCCCCAGGAGACAAAACTCCCTGGGCAGTGTTCCAGGAGGCAGGTGGCAAACAAAGCCCGTTGCTGACAAAGCAGAGACACCCCCCCCCTTTCTGTGCCACTTCACATCTGCCCACCCTCCCCTGCCCCACCTGGAGCCTCCTGCCCATTCTCTGACCTGCCTGCCAAATCCTGGGCACCTGTGGGCACCAGGAAGGGGTGGAAAAGGGGTAGATGGGCCAAAATAAGAGTTGTGTTTATACAAGAGGGTGGTGAAAGGCTCTACACAGGATGACATTCCATGGCTGTGTGGTGTCCTCTTGGCCCTGAGCAGGCAGAACACCCGAGTTAACTCCTGCAAGTTAAGAATATTTGGGAATTAATCAGGATATTGTTTCAGCTCTGCCTCAGTGATACAGACACAGCCTTTGCCAGCTGCTGCTCTTGGTGTTTTTTATTTCCTCTGAAGGAAAAGAGTAATTACACTTACAAAAAACCCAGGAAGGCGGGTCACGTGACCACCCAAATTAATCTCCAGGCCAATGCTGGGGGAAGCACATGGATTACAAGGAGGGAAGGATCTTTCCTAATGGCCCCACGAGCTGGCAGCAGACTCCACAAGGAGGAATATTGAATTAGGAGGAACATGCTGGCGCCAGCCTTGCCCTGCTCCTGTAAGATGAGCAGAAGTGCTGCACAGCAGCCCTCTGGGCTTGTGCACAAAGCACTCCAGAGATCCTCTGCCTCAGCATGGCCTGCCCTCGCCCTCCTGACAGGGAAAATGCTCCCTTGCAGTGATTAAAGAGGAGTTTAAAGGCTTAACTCTGCCCTGTGGTTCAGACACCACACAAACAGCCTCGCTGCCCATGCAGGAGTGGCTATGGCAGCTCTGGCCAACACTCCCTTAAATCTGGGTCCAGCTGCAGTGTCAAACAGGTCCTTTCCTGGCTGCTGTTCCCTCTCCTGGTGCCTCCCTGGAGGACAAACCCAGCCCTTCAGAAAGGGGACCCCTCCTCAGGCTCCCTCCTGAGGAACATGAGGGTTTGCTGGTGGACACTTCTGCCACTCCCATGAACGATCTATCCCTGGCTGAAGGTTATCCCTCTCCCTGCAGGTGCCTGTGGATTCCAGGCAAAGCCCTCCTGGGTTCCCAGTGTCCAAAGAGACAGTTTAATGCACAAACTGGGGGGTCCCAGAGGGACAGAACCACTGCCCAAGCGAGGTCTGTGCTTGTCTCCAACAGCTCGGGGGTGTCTCACACCCAACAAGAGAAGATCCTCTTGTCCCAAGCCTTGTTTTCCCAGCCAAATCCCTCACCTGTAAGGAGGTGGCTCACCCCTGCAGGACTGGCCACCCTTTCACTTTAAACCAAGGCTTTTCTGTCCCCAAACCTTGGTTTTCAGCCATGAAATGTCAGGTCGGACAGGAAGGAGCCTCTCTGGGAAGGATCCACACTGACCATGCAAATGGGAGCGAAAAAACAGATCCAGGGATTTGCATTTAAGCAAATCCCAAGTGAGGTATCGTGGAGACATCCCTGAATTGGAGAAAACCTATTTCCTCCAGCTTTCTCAGCTGGAAGTTTACCAGGGGAACATGAGCACAGGTTTCACTCTGCCCTGGGAAGCTCATGACAGACACAGCCCTGCTCCAAAATCCCGCAGGATCCAAGAGCTGGGACTTGGCAGCTGCAGCAACAACAATGGAAACAGGTGAGTTTTCCAGCACCCTTGGCTTCCCACAGGATGCATCCTCATGGAATTACCAGGGAGAGAACATGCTGTGCTGTTCTTGGGCTCATTTTAAAAAAAGAAATAATCAGAAAGAATTGTCTTAAAATCAACATGTGGCATCTTTAATGTCCCAAGAATTTAATGGTATCAATTAGCATGTTCTGCCTTCTCTAAGCTGAATTTATATTCCTCCACAGTGCAATGTTTTTCAAAAGGCAGTTAGATCAAAGTGATGTGAAATATGATTCAATTTGCCTGAAAATTATAGAAACTCAGGCCTAAATTAGCATTTTCTTCCACAATGCTGCCAGTAGCAGAGTTATCTGGAGTTTTAATAGCTCAGCATCAGATGCTGCTGAATAATTCACTGAAAGCAACAGGTTGAGTTATGTGAGGCTGGACTGAAAACTGATAAACAAGGCTAAAGGACGGAGCCATTTTGTGGCTTAATTAAAACAATTTGGGCAGAGAAATAACTGAGCATATGAACGGAGAACTTCTGTGTAAAAACAAAGAGGTGTGGAAGTGTTTTTGTAAAGCCTTTTCAGCACACTAAAGATGCCAGGAAAACATCTGCAGAAGTGCAGAGCATCAGACTCTTGTTTCTGAGACCCATCAGACTCAGGGGCAGTTAATGCAAAGAGCTTGGAGGGTTTGGAAAGTCAGGCTGCAGAATAAAAGAATAAAAGCTGCTCACAGCTTTTTGAGCAGTATCCCCATGATGAAAATTAAATATGAGTCTGCCCCTGGCTTCAGTTCATCCTCCAGTGGTTCTGTGCTGGATCAAGGCCTGATTTTCAACTGGATGCAGCCAAAGACTGAGTTGCCACAGGTATCAAACTGTGCTGGAGCTCGATGAGCTCTGCCCTGCAGCTCAGGTTTTTCCATCAAACCACAATGTTCTGGTCTCTGAAGGAACTCTCAGGGGAAAATGGGAAGTTCCTGATGCAAAAGGTGCAGCTTTTTCTGTCAGTTATACCTGCTTTGAGTGCACACCAGGTACCTGTGCTCCCAACTGCTGCCAGTAAAACAGCCCTAAAAAGGGAGAACAGGAGGGAGAATCTTCCTTGGGCTCTGAAAAAAAAGACCCAGTCTCAGTGGGCAGATTCCTCTCAGCTGTAAGAATTTATATCCATTTCTGGCCACTTCAGACACTCACTGTTTGATATGAGACTCAGTGTCCACCTCTGTTTTTGGGGCACTGCCCCTCGAGTGTGTTCACCTCATTCCCAGTCTTGGCTGAAGTCTCTGGTTAGCACTCAAACACCAAAAACAAGCTGTAATTGCTCCAAAATTGCAATTTCTGTGGCCCAACAGACAACATTTGGGGTAACCCCAAGCCAGCACCGTGTTGTTTAAACCCTCTGCTCTTCCTTTCTGATCCCTCCCTGTGCATCCCGTGTCTGTGCACCTGGGGATACAATGCCACGGGAATGAGAGGGATAAATGGGGCCAAAGGACACATCCTGCAAAGCAGAAGGGCCAAATGATAAATTTTAGAGATCAAACACATCAGCTGTGGGGTGGCAGTTTGTGTTCCCTCAGGAGAACGTGGCTGTGTGTGTTTTCCAAGGGATTAACTTCAAAGTTAAGCTTTTTTTTTTTTTTCCCCCCAGAAGATTTCAATGAAATCCAAACATGGAAACCCCTCCCTGGCCCCACAGGTGTGAGCTCTGTGTTCAGGCACAGCCTGCCAGGATAAAAGAGCTGTCCCTGGTATTGTAGCAGGGCCAAAAAACGGAGCCAGACCCACCACCAGCCTCTTTGGGTGACGTGGCAGAGACATTTCACCCACTTGTGCCTTCCTGAGTAACCTGGATAAAGCAGAGCCCACAAGCACCTGCTGGGATAAAGCTCCTTTTTCCTTCTGTGACCCACATGAGTGTTCAGAGGAGCCACTCCAGCCATCCCAGGGGATTCCCACCCCGGGATCAGAGCTGGCAGAGAGATGTGCTGAGAGCCAGCAGCCCCAGAAGGGTTAAACCACAGCACCTCTGCTGAAACCAAAGGGTTAAAGAAACATTTGCTGGCTCAAAGGGGAAATGTGGGACCCCCTGGAGCTCTCTTTAGTAAAACAGAACCCAAAAACCATGAGACAGCCACATCAGACAGAGAGGGACCTGCATGAAAACCATGTGGACCCAACGTGGAAACACAGGTTGGGTCACTTCAGTCTTCCCCTGCAGATGAGCAGCTCTCACTGCTGAGCTCCAAAGGGATGATTTTTGTGTTAATAATTGCAGTTTTTCTTTCCTGCCTTGATGTAGAGATGTGATGAACATGCTCCTTCTGTACCAACCTCTTCCAGCTGCTCTGGGCTCCCCCTGAACCCTCTAATCCTCATTTCAACCCCTCAGTCCCCACAGATTTTGGCAAACGTGTGTACCAGGGAGTGAGGGTGAAGCACACAGTCAAGGATCTTCTTGCTGAGAAACGCTCCAGGCAGAGCAGTGGCTCCCACTTCAGCGTAAGTCGCTCCCTCTCCACCTTTTTTGAACCCAAAAAAGACATGCCATCCAACCCTCTGCTTTTGGTAGAGCTCAGGGCACCTCCAGCATTGACAGGGAGCAGCAAAAACATTTGCAACCCCACTGCTCGTCCCAAAACATCCCTGATGGCTCCTTGATTTTTTTTTACATCAGTGAACTAATGCCTAAAAGTATTTTTCTTTCTATTTTAAGCGTATCAGTAATGCTAAATGTCTCATTATTCCTGTCACATCCTGCCTGTGACACCTTTCCAGGTCGAATTCCTTTTTCCCTCCACCCCAGCCACACTCGGACCAGTCAGTGCCACAAAAATAGCTGTTCTTCCCCGAAGGTTGTGCTCCTTCCAGCTCCTCCCTGGCACACACCAGAGTGTGCCAGGGGAGATGCAGTGATGTTATGGGCTGGCAGGAGGCCAAGCAGCAGCTTGGAGGAGATGATCTCTTCCTAAAGTGGCTCTATGGCAACAGGAAGCCCAGGCCAGGCTCTGGTACCACTACATTGGGGTTTTTTTTCCTCAATTGCCAGCCAGCAAAGCAATGCAACATTGCAGTGCCAGCACGTGGCATCCAGTGGCACGACCAGCTATTCCCTGGGTGCTCCCAAGACTCACCTTCAAGGAGCAGCAGCTCCTCAGTTCCATTTTCTGGGAGCAAGTGGGACACTGGCAGATGAGGAGGTGCAGCCAAGCTGTTGAAACTGAGCCCTGGAAGGAAAAAGTGAGAGCAGAAACCCAGATTACTGGCAGCAGAAGACACATATTAGGAGTTTTGGTGCTCTCAGGCTTTTTGCCTTCAGTAAAATGAAGAAACCTCAAAGGGGCTTGCAAGTATAAAACACTTGCAAGGGTTTTTCTCTCCGTGGCTTAAATCTGTGCAGAAAAGCAGCACTGGGTGTTAAAAACACAGCAAGATCCAGCCACAGAGACCCTCACAGCCTTCAGGTGCTGCAGAAAGGAAGAAGAACCCCCGAGCCACGGACAGTCAGTGGGAAAGACATGCAGATATTTAGGAATTATGCTTTGTGGAGCAGCAGGAGGCAACTGCTGTGTTTGCCCTCACTGAGGAAACAGCTCCTGGTTGGTGATATCATGCTTTACCTGCTCCCTTTCTGAGGCAGCAACTCCAACAAGAAGGCTCAGGAAGTGTAAAATTCTTGCTCCTTGCTTTGTTGCCCTTGGCTTTGTCCTCCAGAGCTGAGCAGTTGCGTGGTTATCTCATGCAAAATCAGCCCCCGCTGCTAATTCCCAAGGAGAGACAAAAAATTATTGTGCAGGGCAAACATCCGTATTTGCTCGAAGATATGGTGAAAAAAGAGCAGCTGTAAGTGCAGCTCTGTTTGTCTGGCAGGATAAAACCAAGAGGCAGATAACTGAACACCCCCTTTGTGTGTTTACGATGCTGTGGGATTCAGCTGCATCTTTTGTCTGAGCACGATCTTTGCTCCCCCATCCCAACAAAAGAAATAATCACTCGGCTTTTGTGGGGCGAGGGGAGGTCTCTGGAGGAGGGAAGGTCAGAGCTTAGCAGAGATGAGCTGCTGGGCTGGTTATTGAGGCAGCACAACAGCCAGAATTTCATGTCAGCCAAGCCCTGCACACATCAAATGAGAGGAAATCACAGAATATGCTGAGTTGGAAGGGACCCACAAGGAGCAGGGCACGCTGTGATGAAAACCACACAAAGTCTGGGGTTCTGCACCAACTGCAGGGCAGAAGGGCTTGGGCCTGGGCTTCAGGGAGGGTCCCACTTTTCCCCTGCACAGGTATGAACCTTATCTGTGTGATAAGAGCATTCCCATCTTTCCTCAGCCGTGGAAAAGGGGGGTGTACAGGTGAAGCACTGCAATCCTCTGGTTTAAAGGGCAGTGCTGTTGAGCACCCAGCAGCACCCAGAGGCCAGGGACAGACCATTGGAGGTGCCTGGGACAGACCACTCGGGGTGCCCTGCCCAGACTAAGCTTTGCTCCTATTATGAATTTTCATCACTTCAGCTGCTGTTCTACAAACTGGGACCAGAGAGGAGATGCACTGAAACCAAAACATTGCCAAGAGGGCACCATAAATCCCCCTTGCAGGATCAGATAGCTGTTTTGACCTGGGTCCTTCCATTTAGCCCCCCAAGGCAGTGAAGCAACCCAGCTCTCTGGAGTGTTTCCAGCCTGGCCATGTGCAGGGCAGGCTGAGACCCAGCTTATCACCAGCTGAATGTGCTGGGAGAGCCCAGGGGATGCTGGACAGACACACTGAAGTGCTGCAGAGGATCCAGCCCCACGGAGAGGAAGCAATGCAGGCAGGAAATGAACTAATGGGTTTCAATTAAGCCAAGCCTTTCATCGCCAGATAAGGAGCTGAGGAGGGGAATGAAATGCAGGTCCCTGCAAGCACGTGGTGCCTGCTCTGGTGAAGAGCTGCAGCAGAGGCTCCTGCAGCTGAATTAAAGCAGCTCTGTGAGCACCCACCGTGGGTGTGTGCACTGAAATCCTGCCTGGGACACACAGTCAGGAGGTTTCAGTGATCAGAGGATCTGATAACTGGGAATGCTCCATTCTAAAGGCTGGCAGCTGTGCCAAGGACCCTCCTGTCCCATCCCAGCTCTCACCACTGCAGCCCTTTGTCCTTTAAGGCAGGATCTGTGCCACCTTCCCCCCCCCCGCACAACCTTTTCCCCCCGAAGTGACGTGGATGCTGAGAGAGGGGTGTCTGCCCAGGCCAGATTTGCATGTGGAGGCTTCAGCCCTGCAGGGCAGTGAGCACAGCCAGAGGGGATCCTCAGTGAGCTCTGCAGCCAAAAATGGCCCAGCTGGAGGCTGGTGCCAGCCCTGACCCTGGGGCATGAACACTCTTCTTCACCCACAAGCCAAGGGGCTCCTTCCTGCCCACTCCTGTCACCTCTGGAGCCTGTGTGACTTGTGCTGGCTCACAGCTCATTTTCATGACTGACCAGGGAGCAGCTGCAAAACCTCCCTCAGCAGCAAAAGGAAGTCCCAGCACTGGCAAATTTTAATTCAAATTTAAACCTCTAAATTTGGTTGCCTGCTACGGCAGGAACCTCCTGTTTGCACTATGCAAACTGAAAATAGCCCGTCCCCAGCACTGGCCAGGGGACAGATGAAATAAATGCAGCCAAGGGCTCTGTGTTTCTCTTTGATGGGTTTGGAGAACTGAATGAAACCCCAGGTATGAGCTCTGCTCCAGAGCAGCAGGTGCTTTGTAAGGAATTAGGCACCAGGGTCACTCAGGGCTAATTCTCCCTTCCCTGGGCACCAAGAGGAGATTATTATTATGTTCAGCATTGCTCTAGGACCCACGAGGGAATTAGAAACAACTGCCTTTACAGACAGCCTGCTTGTGCTGTGAGGAGGAGCCAGGCAAAGCAGCACAGGTGGGCTGAGCCAGGACTCAGAATCTGCCCATTTTGACCAGTCAAGGGCTCAAATACCAGTTTATTGAGACCTGTTTTGTGCCAGCACCTAAATGAGTGCTCAGCATTGTGCCTGCATTAAAGGACTCTGCAGTGCACCAGAGAGAAGCCATTTATCTTGATACTTCTCCTGTTATCAGCTCTGCACAAGACCTCCACAATCTCTTCTTAGCCTACATCTGCTAATGCCTCAGAGGCCCCAGGCTTGAAATCATGTAGTTAAACCCTTCATAGCACCAAGGCTCAAACAGTGCACCTGAGTTATGCCAACACCTTCCCAAACCACGTGTTCAAAGAGCCACCTCACTTTGGAAAGGCAATTTTTTAACCTGTCTCTGTCTTTTTGCAGGGCAGCAGCAGCACACCACAGTCAGCCTTTGTCCAAGTGCCAGGTGAGGTTTTCCTCCTCCTTCCATGCAGGTTGGGTGGTTGACACAGCCCTGTCTGTTCTCCTCCAGAGAATAAGCAAAGGAGCCCTGGAGCAGGGCCACCCCTCAGAGAGAGCCCAGGAGGAAAGTAATTACAAGAGTCAAAACAGGAACAGCAATAATCTCGTGTAAAATTCCCAAAGAGAGGAAAGAGAGATAATTAAAGCAGTTCCCACCTCTTTTGATAGAGGAGCCACACAGAATCCCTTCTTTTCTTTCTGCATCTTCCAGTTTTCTCTGGAGCAGAGGAAAGAAAGTACAAAATCAGGAGCTGACCTGTTTCATCCCTTCAGCTCTTGGGCAGGGAAAGGGGAGTGAGGCTGGAACCTCCTCCCCAAGGGCTGCAGCAGAACAAGGAAGAAGCAGAGGCTGACAAAACTGACCTCAATCTCCCTGTTTGAAAGGAGGCCTCCTATTTAAAGCTTTCCAGAACACATTTGGTTGGCCACAGATGGAGGTCACCAGCTGGACCAGGGCAGGCTGGGGTGCTAAAAGCACTTGGGCTCACACTCCTGTTTCAAGGCAGGATTGACTCTTGCTCTGGGTGATGCTGGAGAGAAAAGGGCTCTGGTTTGCACCCCCAGAGGTGTCCATGGCTCTGTGGCTCCTCCCAGGTGCTGCTGTCACAGCTTCCCTTTATCCCACCTGTTCTCTGCCCACCACAGGCTCCCCTCCCACAGGTTACTACGGAGTCAGGAGACCCTTCCCAGCTGAGCTGGATTTCCACAGCACCAAGCAGTTTGTCAGTGATGTCTACTCGTCCCCTCTGGGCTCCAAGCCCTTCTCCTGTGATTCCTCTGCCTCTCAGGGCTACCCAGCCCTCCTGGACTCGTATCTCACCGACCAGTGTGGGGATTACCGTGCTCCCCCCCTCGCTCCTGCTGCCAGCTCCTTCTTCAGCCCTTCTGCTGTGCCCCCTCTGCTGCCATCCTTCCCCGGGGACACGGGACACTTCCTACTAGTGAGTGAGTCTGTGGTGCTGTCACCCAATAAAAGATCACCCGATTTAAACCCCGGGGTTCAGTCGGGGGGGCTCGTGGGAAGGATGTGGCTGATCCACAACAGAGCCCCCAGCAGATGGGGCAGGTCTGCAGGGAAGGTTTATTATCTTTGTTCCCATCTAATTCTCCCCTCTCCCCGTGGGAGACCAACCTTCCCTGCTCCCCAAAGCAACTACTGCATTAAGCTCCTTTAAAATTTCTAGAAACATCCTTTGACAGCTCCAGGCTGTTGCCTATCCCCCATCCCTGCTGCTTCCCAGGAGCCAGCTCCTGTCACACCCCCAGGGCAGAGCTCCTGGACCCTGTAGGATCAGGGCTGGTCAGTCCCACTGGGATCCTATTCCAGGCCTTGATACTTCTCAAGTATCATCCTATGGACAGGATGGATGTTTCTGTGCAACAGTTTTAACACCAAACACTGCTCCAGAGCAGCAGAAACCCTCATGGAACAGACTCCCCAGGGCAGTGAGCACAGCCCCAAGGCTGCCAGAGCTCAAAAAGTGTTTGGATGATCCTCTGGGGCACAGGGTGTGACTCCTGGGGATGGGCCTGAGCAGGGCTGAGGGTTGGACTCGATGATCCTTGAGGGTCCCTTCCAACTCAGCACATTCTGGGATTCTGAGTGTTCCCAGCTGGGCCTTGGGGATAGAAACGCCATTACCTCCAGTACAAGCTTTTATTCCTAAGAGTCTTTCTTGCCTTCTCCCCCTGCTTCCCTGCAGAGAGAGCCCTGGGAGCAGAGCCCACCCGACAGCCTGGGCCAGTCGGACGCTGCGTGCTCAGACCCTCTGCAAGCGCTGCCTCCCGCCTCCAGCTGCCTCTCCCCGCCTGAACCCGCAGGGGTTTCCCCATTCCGGGGCTCGGGTTGGACCCCAGCCATCCCTGGAGCCCAGCCCTACCCTCTGCACCCTCTGGAAGATGCCCACTGCTCCCCCAGCTCGCCCTACACCTTCCCACCGTTCACAGGGACCGAGCCGCCCTCCAGGATGAGCCACCTCTGCCCAGAGCAGCCCTCGGAGACCCCACACCTCCAGGATAACCCTGCCTGGGCAAAAGAGGATGGCAGTGCCCTCTGGGGGACTTATGAAGGCCGGAGAACTTATTGACGGGAGAGAAGAGCTGGAGAAAAAAAAAACCAAACAGAAAATGGACCGTTATTGAAGCAAATTAATTATTTGTCTGCTCTTTCCTAAACCTTCAAACAGAGGGTGCTGCAACGTGTGATGCTTTGTGCTCTGTGTAGAAATACAGTCACTTGGAAATACCAAGTGGTGCCTTCTGGTGCCTTGTGAGAGTCATTGCTCGCAGCCCTGCTGTGCCACAGGTAAAACCCACAGCCTGAAAAATATCTGCACCTTGTGAGCCTTTCCTACACACACGGATCTCAGGGACTTCCCGGGGGGCTTCTCCAGCCTTAAGGATTTAATGGTTCTGTAGGGGGTTGGCCTCACCTGCAGTGCACAAAACACACCCTCCCCAACATCTTCTGTGCCCTCGAGGAGCCACAGAGCTGTCCCCTCCTTGCCCACCCCAGATCCACACACTCCTGGGGTCCGTGGCCAGGAGGGCAGGCTGCTCCCAGCATCCAGGTGGGATGTCACCGGGAACAGGAGTGGTTTCCAGTCCCGGGGCCAGTCCGGGCCCCGTGGCCACTAGAGGTAGCTCTGCACACACAAACGCGCCCAGGAGCCCCGTGGAACCCTCACAGATGCAGCAGATCCCGACGGGTTTGCCCCTGCAGGAGGCCACCCCATGTGCCCCATCTCGCCCCCAGCCTGGCACCCACAGCAGCAGCACCAAAAGCCTCTCTGGGGATGAACAGGAACATTCCAACACCTTGGAATAGGCAGTGATGAGATGCCTTAAAGCTCTCCTCGCCTTTTCTCCTCAAGTCATGGGGATAATTAGGCTTTTGGAGCCTTCACAGCACCTTCCAGGGATCATAAATGGCACTGGGGGCACAGGATTGGGCTCAGAGCATCTCCCCATGCCATGCTGCCTGGGGGCACCTCTCTGTGGGGAACATGGGCCAGCACTGCCCCTGGAAACAGGGGGGTCTGCCAGAGTGCCCAGGCTGCCCCAGGACTGGGGAGCCCCTGCTCAGGCAGAGGCCATGGCCAGGCAGGAGCACCCAGCCCTGATCCTGGCTGAGCTGGGGTCCCTCTGGATGCATCCCAATTCTCCAGCCTCACTCAGACCCGCTTGGAAATGTCTGAACCTCTGAATTTGAGGCTCACTCTGCCTCAAGTCTCACCTCTGCCCACCCCACTGGTCGTGCCCTCCTTTCTGCTGGTGGCACAGGGAAAGCTCAGTCAGGGCTGCTCCACACCCACAGGGCAAGGTGAGCCCAGTTACTGCCAGTTTGGTCTGTGGGCACCACCCAGTTACTCCCAGTTTGGTCTGTGAGCACCCCAGGCTCTCGTGAGCAGAGGTGTGGAGCATCCTGGGGTGGCACCTGCTCAGCCAGAGCTGCTCCCCTGACCGTGGTTCAGGGCAAGTCCAGGAGCCCCAGAGCTTCTCAGGGTGTGTGCAGGTCTCCTTGCCCCACATCCAGCCCTTGTGCCCCCAAACCTGAGTCCTGCACGAGCCCAGAGTCTTGTTCCACACCACAGCTGACCCCACTGCCCCGCTGAGCCACAGTGACCATCTCTTGTTCCTTCCTCAAGGGGTTTCCATGGACAGGGACATCAGGCTCTGAGGGAGAGAAGCAGGGACAGGTTTCTGAGCTGTCTTGGAAGTGTTTGACCCTCTCTGGCCTTCAGCTCCCAGCTAAGGCAGGTTCTCTGTGAGCCTGGAGCTGCTCCCAAACCCAGGACATGCAGGAACACCCCCAACACAGATGCCTGGTGTTTCCTTAAGGCACAAGGCTCTGTCAGGGAGAATGGGCTCCCTGCTGGGATCGCTCCCCTCAGAACTCAAGTGTATTTGTTCAGCTTAAAGGAAAAGCAAAGACTGGGCTGTGACAGCAGCCAAGCTGAGCTGCTGGTAGATCATTAACAGCCTGGCCTGCTCTCTGCCTCAGCCAGAGATTCCCTGAGCACTGCAGAGGCTGTGGTCCCCAGGGAAAAGCTTAAACTCAGCCTCAAAACTCCAAGTACGTCATTGTTGTGTAGTTTATCCCCAAAGCCTGTCATCCTACACACACTGAACCCCCCACGTGCAGCTCCCAGGGCAGGCCAGTGCTGAGGCACCTGAGAGAGAGAGGCCAACCTGTGCAGCAAAAGGAAAGAGTCTGAATTAGGGGAAAGCACAAATAAACTCCAAAGTGAGCCCAGCACCTGGGCAGGGGGAGGGAATGCTGTGGCAAGAAGTGGGGTTCAGGTACCTTCAGCTACCTGGGTACCCAGGGCAGCCTCTTTGTCACACCCCGCCCGCCCCGCTGCCATTTTGGCCCCAAACCCTCAGCATTTAGCCTTAAAACGTGAAAAAACGTGCAAAAAGCAACCCAGTCCCTGGCAGAGTCCTCTCTGCAGGTAGCAAATGAAATATGAGAGGGCTGGAGCCCAGCCTGTGCATCTGAGGGGAAAACACCTGAGCAGGTTTCGAGGCATCTGCTTCATTCTGGGAAAGATGGGTAAAACCCTGCAAATCTCCCAAAAGCAAAGGGTGGGGAGGGTGGCCCCGCCAAATTTTGTTCCCCCAGACCCTCTGCTAGATGGGGATGTGCTCGGTTTCACAAAAAGATAGCCCATTTTGTGGAGCCTTTGAATATTCAAATTGAAAGTATCGCGCAATCATTGATTGTCAAATCATTGGTTTCTAGAGGTTTTAAATACTTGGCATTAGGAGAGAAAAACTCAAACTTATACCCGTAGGGATAAAACAATAATATTGTCGGGATCCACCTGCCACTGCCACCGGGCAGGCAGGTCCCTTCGCCCCCCGGTTTCCAGCCTGTCACCTCTTGCCCCCTTGGCCAGCTCTGGGGCCGGGGCCGGGGCCACCGCGGCTGCAGCACCGGGTACCTGGCGAGGTGCTGCCCCTTCCAGCCCAGGATGTCCGGTAAGCCCCGCTCTGCACCCCCGCGCTGTCCCCCGACACCCCGTTTTGGGGCCGTTTCGGGGTTCGCCGGGGTCACTCCGCGAGCGAGGCGATGCCGCCGTGCCAAGGCAGGAGGGAGCGGGGAGGGCGGGGAGGAGGGAGGGAGGAGGCAGGGGAAGGATCGGCTCCTGCCCGCGCGGGGGCCAGCGGGGCCGGCTCGGGGCACGGCGGGGACCGCGGGCAGAGCCGTCGGGGGGGAGCCGGGGGGAGCCCATCGCCGGCGCTGCCGCCGCGATCCCCGCGGAGGGACGGGAGAGGCGGACCCGCACCTCCGTGTGCCCTCCCCGCACGCTCTGCCCTGGGCACGGCGCTCCTGAACCCCAGCCCCGGCTCCCAGCCTGTCCTTGTCACCCTGCTCCCGATTCCTCACCTGCCCCGACCACCCTGTGCCCACTCTCGCCACCCGGCGCCTTCATGCCCAGCCCCATCACCCCGTTCTGTGACCCCCAGCCCTATCACCCTTCTCCCTGATCCTCAGCCCCATCACCCTGTTCAGTGACCCCCAGCCTCATCACCCTTCTCCCTGACCCTGAGCCCCATCACCCTGCCCCTTGACCCCAAACCCACTACCACCACCGTGTTCTCTGACTTCCAGCCCACCCTCACCACCCTGCCCCTTGGCTCCCAGCCCCATGTCCCTGTTCTCTGACCCCCAGCCCACTCCACCACCCTGCTCCCGACCCCAAGCCCACCCTGACTCACAGCCTGTCCTTGTCACCCTGCTCCTGATTGCATCCCTGCCCTGACCACCCTGTGCCCACCCTCACCACCCTGCCCCTTGACCCTCAGCCCCATCACCCTTCTCCCTGCCCCTCAGAATCATCACCCTGATCCCTTGACCCCCAGCCCCCCCTCACCACCCTGCTCCTTGGCCCCCAGCCCATCTCCCTGCCCCTTCCATGCCCAGCCTGCCCAGTGCCACAGAGCTGCCCATGGTAGCCCTGTTCTGGGTGCTTCAGCTGCAGGCAGGTGCCTCAGGGTGCCAGAAAAGCAAGATCCTGGGGGCATAATGCTCTGCCAGGAGAGCTGCTGCCTCAGAGCCCTCCCTGGCTGCAGGGAGGCCTGGTAATGAGGGTGTTCTCCTAAAGTTCAACCCTTCCCTCCCCTCATCTTCCCCATCTGCTGTTCGTTGGATAGAAGCAAAACATCAAAACCATGAGATGAATAATCCCCAGCTGAGCACAGCCCAGCAAAGTGCCCCCGAGGCAGTCCCAGCTCAGCCTGTCACCTCCCCAGAGGGACCCGTGTGCCTGTCACAGCCTGTCCCCACCCCGAGCACCACAGGGGCACTGGGAGGGCTGGCAGGACCCCGTGCATCCCTGGGCACTGGGAGAGGCTGTGGCAGGAGGGAACAGTGCCCACAGCGTGGGATTGCCTGGGTGTGGGGGCAGAACCTGCAGATCCAGCCCTGTCCTCCTGCCAGGATCCGCTGGCACCGTGCAGCTGGTGACTGTTCCCTGTCCAGAGGTGGCACTGGAAGGCACTGCCAGCTTTAGCCCTGCTAAAGGGCTCCTTCAGGGCTGCTCCTGCTCCTTCAGGGCTGTCTGCTGCCTGCTCTGGCTTTTTTTGGGTGTAGAGAATGGCCCGGGGTTGTTGCCCCTTTGTCATGTGATTCAGATTCAAACAACAGCAGAAAGTTAGGACAGAAACCACAGCTTTAAGTATTTTACCATGAATACAGCAAGGGGAAGTGATTTTTCAGGATAACTAATTTCTTTGCCATTCCCTGTGCTAAAAATCCCTCATCAGGTAGTGCCTGGTGATTGCTGGTTGTTTTCAGCTGGATTAAAGACATCCTAAATGCTTGTTTGAAGTCAATGGGAGTTGTACATGGCCAAAGTAAAGAGATAATCTAGGCTTTGAAAGAAGTGATTCATGAAAGCAGTCATTTTATTTGTGTTTTGTTTAGCCCTCTGCATAACCACCCACATATTCCCATTGTTTTATTCCTGGTCTTCCTCTGCCAGATGAAGTGTTTCCCACATTTATTTTCAGGTCCTGAGAGAGGCAAATATGTTAGGAATTGAAATAAATTCAACAGCAGCAGCAGATGGAGCTCAGTATTAAGAAAGCTGGAGGGAGGGCAGGGGGAAGAAGGAGATAGAGAAGAATAAAACATGTGTGGCTACTAAATATTATCAACTCCAACTTTTCCATAAGTGTCTGCTTGCCACAAGCTGGAATAACAGGCATTCCAAAGGGTTGTAAACTGTGATTGCAAGGGACTAAACCAGAGTTAATCATGGTAACTCTACACTGAAATCATGCTGGATTTGCAGTTTGCTCTCCCTTCCTGTAAAGTGTTTTTCCACAAACTCTTTCAGGAAAGCCCAAGGTGTACCAAGGTGTCAGAGTAAAGATTACAGTGAAGGAGTTACTGCAGCAGAGAAGAGCACGACAGGCAGCAACTGGTTCAGCAGTGAGTGAAAATATTTTGTTGTTTGCTTTGTCTCTTCTCTGTTTATTTTCCTTTTTTTTTTTTTTTTTTTTTTTTGCCAAGACTGTAATCTCTGGGCCCAAATGGCTACCAAAGCCTGAGTGTAACAGGGAAAAAACATTCAGCCAGCGATCTAAAGGGGTGAGAATTTGTGCAGGGTGAGAATCTGTGCAGGGAGAGAGCAGGGCTGCTGGTCCAGAAGCATCACTCAGCCCGGGATGGAAGGCTCACCTTCCAGAGGAGGGGATGGAGTTCTGTGTGAGCTCACACTCTCTCTCACTCACTCTTCCAGCCTTTAGCTCCAGGGATTTGCACAAAGAGGCTGGTAAATCGTGATTTCTTCCTGGTTCGTGGCACCCCAGGCTCCGGAAGGGTTCAGATCTCAGTGGCTGTGCCTCGCTGCAGCCGAGTGCACAAAAAGCTGCTCGGGCACAGGCACAGGGGGAGCAGCGCAGGGAACTGCCGGGCTCTGGAAATGCTGGGTCACTCCTCCCCTCTGCATCACAAAGGGCTGAGCCGAACCGGTTTTCACTTCCCACCGCCGGTTTACACCTCACCTGCGGAGCCCACACAGGAAAGAGTGAGCAGGGGCAGAGCAGGGGGTTACCTCGGTGAGCTGCACGAGGTGTGTGCAGGAGAGGAAAACCCCAGAGGTTTGCCTGGTTGCACATGTCGCCAGAGAGGAGAGGGGTGGTCGGTCCTGCAGGTCACTCCCAGCCCAGAACAGCCACTACCTCAGGAATTCAATGCACGGGGTGTGCTGGGAAGTTGTTGCCAGGGAAATGAGCTGCTGACTCAAGAGCATGTGGAATAAAGGAAATGAAGTGGAAGCCTGTATGAGTTAAAACTGAGAGGAAAAAAAAACCCCCAAAACGACAGCAGTATTTGTATTTGCAGAGTGAAATCCTGGTCCCAAACAAGCATCAAAACTCCCGTTGCTTTTGGGGTGGATTTCTCGCTTCCAGCAGGTCCTAGAAACGGGTGATCTGTCCACTTCAGCTTCCAATATCCTTAAAAAACGAGGCTGTCCGTTTTCACAGAGTTCAGAGCTGTGTTGGAGTGGGGAGCAGTGCCAGAGCTGGCTCTCCAACCACAGCAGCACCGAGCACAGCAATCCACTCTGATGCCCAACCACAGGGACACCTGCAGTTGTCATTAGTTAATTACTCATTCTCAGTGATATTCACCCCTAGGAATTCTTTGGGATCCTTCCACTGTGGAATTCACGGTCCTGGAAATTAACACACATTCGTTTCAAAGGCATTCGTTTTAAAACACATCAGTTTTCAAAGCAAACCTTTGTGGAGTCAGAAATGGAGCAGAAAGATCACACCAGCACAGGGGCTGGTTCCAGGGCTTTACACCAGCACAGGGGCTGGTTCCAGAGCTTTACACCAGCCTGGGGTTGTGCTTCTCCCACGTTGCTACAGGAAAAATCATGTTATGCACATCAATCTAATGCTCTGTCAGTGCCAGGGAAGTTTCCCAAGTGGAAACGAGGGAAATAAGGTTTACATAAATAGGTTACACCGAAATCCAGACTTACCTTGCTCTCCCCTGTGTCCTTCCCTTCCTCTCTCTTTGCCCAGGTTTCTTGGGGCAGCAGCAGCATCCAGTTCTCAGAGTCCGTGTCTCCGCCTCACCCAGGTTGGTACAAAGCCCGTGCACGTGTCCCATCCCACTCCCTTCCCAGTTTTCCCACAGCCCGGAGCGTTCCCAGCCCTTGGCTGAGTCAGGCACCACCTGCAGTGCAGCCAATCAGCACCTGCCAGGAGCCCATGGAATGCAGACCAGGAGCACATTCACCCCCTCGGGAGCACTCTCACATGCTCTCTTCTCTGCAGGTTGTTTTTCCCACAGCAAGGACCAAGATCCCCTTCGGGAAGGGATGCACATCCCCCAGGGAATAACACTGCTGGCATCACCTTCCCCAGGTTCTGCTCTCTGGGTTTGACTGGACACAGAAGGTCAGGTTGCCCTGGAGCACTTGGCTGACTCCTGCTCTGTTCTCTCTCTCCTGGCAGCATCCAGAGGAGTGAGAGGAGTGTCAGGTTCTCAAAAACACAAAGAGTTTCCTCCTCCTGCCTGTGAATATCCAAGGAAAGGGGAGAGGGGTGGGGGAACAGCACTTTGGGCTCACAGATCCTTCAATTATTCCTCAGCCAAAGCCCAGAGATCGAAAAGGTTGTCCAGGCACATTGCATGGACAAGGGAATTATTGAACCATTCATAGTTGGGAATCAATTTGCTTATGTTAATAAGGAAACGTGAGACATACCAAAGCTTTTTCAGGCTGGAAAGTCTCCACCAGTTTATGTATTTTGGGTGCTTCCCACTTCCTCCCCACATCCAGCCAAACGCTGCCACCTTGGACCTGCCTGTGCAGGTCCACTGCCCTCAGCCCTGTGCCCTTCACGTGGACAGGGCTCTGCTTTTAACCATGTTTAAACACAGGATGAAAGGACAATAATGCTGAAAAGCCAGATCTGCTGAGAGCTTTCCAGGAACTCGCCCTTTGGCCAGGAACACTGTGTGGAGGCAGGGCCACGTTATCCCTGAGCTGCTGCATTTGGTCTGCTCAGAACTTCGTCCCCTGTCTGGCTGTTTGGGGGGATAAAAGAGCAAATTACTCTCCTGTGACCCCCTTCTTCCTGCAGATGCAGCTGCCCCGTGGCTGGAGATGGGTGAGGCACAGGGACAAGCCCTGTGCCAGGCTGTGGAGCATAAATCACTGCATGGCAAGATTCTGGCTCTGTAAACACTTGTAGGAAGGCTGGAGGGTCAAGAATCTGAGGGAGTTTCCATCTGGATCCCAGTCCAAAATGCCTGGGGCCAGAAGAGTTTCCAGCAGTATTTAAAGAGCTTCTTTCCAAGGGGACTGAAGTTCCCCGAGTTACTCACATGTTTTAATCATCTTCCTCCTGGTTTCTGCTTCCCTAGAAAATCCACCCTGAACTCGCAGGACCTTTTCCTTTGTCTGAATCCACAGGGCTGGTGAACACATGAGAGCACTGAAACCTGGCCTGGGGCAAAACCCGCCCTGTGTGACACTGAATAACCTGCTCCTGTCTGCTCTCCCTTCTCTCCCAGCCCCTTTTGATGCAGAGCCCATCTCTTCTGTTCCCAACTGCTGCCCGTCCTGGCAGTTTTCCAACTGCCTCTCCTGTGAGGAAAGCCCCAGCTACTTGGAGCAGCTGATAGATTCCTGTCTGCAGTCGGATGCACCCTCGGAGCCAGCCTGCAGCGCTTTCCAGCCATCACACTACACCCCAGACACCTTCCAGCCCGTCCCTCTCTGCTTTAACCAGGGCCTGGTAAGCTTTGTGTTCCCAGGGGGAAGTGGGGAAGGGAGTCACGTCCTGGGGCAGAGCAGCAGCCACCCAGTTTGGGAATGTGGCTGCTTTTGGGGGATGCAGTGACACAGGCTGCTTGGGTGGGCTCTGAAGGGTTTCCCAGAGGACAGGGAGGCCCAGCCAAACCAAGAGAGAGGCTGCAGAACAGGGGATGTTCCCTCTGCAGGTGCTGTAGCAAAGTTCCTGCTAGTACCTGTCTAACTCACAGAGAAACTCCCTATAAACACTGATGCCACAGGAACTGTCCCTTGGGTTTAGACCCCCAGGGACCAAACCACCTCCCTGGGTAGCCAGACCCCCCTGAGAAAGGCACCAGCATGAAAATCCTGCCTGCTCTCCACATTTCCCAAACACCCACATTTCCCAAACACCCCACAATTCCCCCGACGAACGCCCTGAAATGTCCTTTTTTTCCTTTCTCCTGTTTTTTTTTTTTTCCTCTCTCTCCCTCCCCCTCCAGGCTGCCAGCCCTCCCAGCTCAGCTGACCTGCCCAGCCCGCTGAACTACAGCTGCTCCCCTGCCCAGCTCTCTCCTCTGACCCCGCTGACCCCCAGCCCTCCCCCTGCTCTGGACACCAGGACCTACAGCTGCCCCGGGGAGGAGTGGTCCTGCCTTGCCCCCTGCCCCTACCCCAGCCCTGCCTGCTGCTGCACAGCCTGTGGCTCCCAGCCCTGGGACAGCAGGGTCCCCCAGTGCTTCCCCTGCCCCAGCACGGACTGCCTGGACTACCTGCCCCCCCTGGCCGTGGCCGAGGACTTCTTCAGGAGAGACAGGAGCTGGGACATCTGCTACAGCTAATGGGGGCTGTGGTTTTGCACACCCACTCCCCCCAGGGCAGGTTAATTGCCCATGAACTATGCAAAGCTGTGCTGCCCAACACAGCCCGGGTTGTTTTCACTACTCACACGTTTTTGTACACCGTGCTGTCACTACATTAATCCTCCTTGATGTTGTTGTGGTGGTGGTCTGATGTTTTTTTTTCCCCCCCTCCTGTCTGTTTTTGTTGATGTTGTTGTTTTTTAAAGAGATCCAAAGCTGCCTTATCCCACACATCGTCACACCGGCTCTTTTTGATACAAATAAATGATTTTGTGCACCTGCTGAAGCCTCTTCATTCCTCACGTGCTGGATGTCAGTGCTTTTCTCTCGTGCTGGTGACCCAGGGCGCTGCCCCTGCCCTCACAAAAAAGGTTTTGAGGAGCTGCAGGAGGAGCAATGACTCAGTGACAGGAAAGGTCTCACTTTAACCTTTCCAGCAGATAAGAGGTCTGTGTGTAACCCAGAGTTGTGAGCTGGATCTGCAGCTCCTCACCTGCTGCCTCTGCTCAGGCTGCCCTGATGATGTTTCCCTAGTGGTTCTGGCAGAAAACTGCTGTTTTCCACCCAAGCCCAGGGCCCCTCAGAGCTGCAAAGAGGTGGAATCCGCTGCCAAACTTCTTTGGCTGCAGCTTCCCTGGGAGAAGTGAGAGGCTGAGGTAGTTTGGCAGCCCTTTGTGGAGTTGGGGCTGTTGATAACATTTTTTTTCTGCACCTTTCAGCAGAATCAACTGAACAGAAGCTAAATGATTTTTTTTTAAAAGTAGATAATGGGAAAGTTACACCTGAGTATTTCCTGTTTCTTGCATAAACCCAGACCTTTTTAAGACTCTGTCTCGTCTCCTTTTAATAGCACTGGGGGAGGCAGATTGCCAAGACACCAGTTTCTCAGCTGAGCACCCAGACTGGAAAGAAAGAAGCATCTTTCCACATTAAATCCAACAAAAATGAAAAAAACTAATCACCTGTGAAGACAAAGCCATAATTTGTCTGGCTGTGTGCTCACCTCCTCCAGACACTTCTGCACTTCACTGAAAAGCTTTCCAGTCCCTTTACCTTAGGCAAGGTGGTAGTTTTCTCTCCAAAACATGCTTTAAAATATTTTGACAACTTCAAATAACATCTCCCCTTCTCCCCTGCCGTTACCTGATTGATCTCAGGGGTTGCCAAAGTGATACATTCATGAGGTCACAGAACACTTACAAACAGCTGTATCTCTGCAGCGGTTCGAGGTGTGATCACCCCCATGCAGAGACACCCTGTTAGGTGTCATTTTAGCAGTGCTGGTGGGTGCTGCAGCCCCTGGGTGTTATTTTGGGACAGTGGAGGGCCACACTCCTGCCCCAGCCTGCTCCAAGCCTTACTCAGTGCCAGCTCCTCGAGGAGCAGGAGCACCTTGAGCCACAGTCAAAGCCCCTCATCAGCAACGTGAAAGAGCCAGAAGGAGATAAGGCTGGGGCAAGATTCCTGAGGCTTCTGGAGGAAATGGGGTGACCACATCCTCCCCACGGGCTGGCAACATTGGCCTGAGCTTGACAGAGCCAAGGGGATGCTCTGGAGAGCAGAGGGCACGTGAAATGGTAACTAAGCACTCGAGGAGGGCTCACGTTAAGACATCTCACAGCAAGGGTGGGAGCATCCTAAATCTACACAACAGCTCCAGCAAGGAAATCAAGGGCTAGAGGCTAACAAGATATCTTTCACCTCCACATCTAGTAGCCTCAGCTGCTCTGAAATTACCAACTACTCCACTGGGACAAAGATATTTTCAGCAAAATGTTTCTGTGCACCAAGGTCTCCAGGCTCTAACAGCTTCCATTAATTAAGTGTCACTGCCCTCCATCCCCTGCAGCCTCTTCCTATTGCTCTGCTGCTCCTTCTCCAGTTGTTTTGCAATGTCCCAGACTGGAAACGTGTCTGAGATGCTGTTCCCCAGCTCCCTGTCAACAGCTCCAGGCCACACATGCAGTGCAAGTAAAAGCTTGCTGGCTGTTGACACAACGTCTTGTTGGCACAAGGAAGGAAAAAAACACAACAGAGGAACCATTCAAAGGTTGATTGTGCATTTTCTGGCTATGAGGAACATATTCTTTCCCTCCTTTATCCCCCCCCAAAATAAAAAAGGGTTCAAAGTAACTTTGAGAGCTGGCACAGCCCTATTGAAACTCTGGTGTGTCATCAGTCCCTGCCAGGTGAAGCTTTGCCAGCCTTTACAAACACGTGTTTACACAAAAATGAGGATCATCTCATGCTTACAAAAGCCATGAATAACTCCAAAAGTAACCTGCAGTTATAGAGAAAAGAAAAGGTTCTTATTTTCAGGTTCTTTACCAGTTGCACAGAGTATTTGATCTGAAAGTTTGGCTTGCCAACCGACTGACAGCTTTTCTATGGTGCCACTTCAGAGCATTTGTTTGGTGATAACGAGCCTTTGTTATTAGCAACTTCTCCAAAGCCACAGGTAGGAAGAGATAAACTGTGCAAATAGAGGGATATCACACGCTGCCAATTGCAGAAGTTACATTTCCCCTGAAACAGCCACGGAAAATTGAGGGGTTAAGTGTGAACTGTTTAAATCGGTGAAATTCCCCCAGTGCAGAAGACACCTGGGAGGCTTAAAAGGGATTTTCTTGTTACACAGTCTGGTTGGAAAGGGAAAGGAGTTTTAACCTGCAGCAGCCTCCAGCTGTCTGGTGGCTCCAGTCCAAAGCCAACATGAATAACTTGTTGGTTGTGGCTTCAGAGCAGCCCTCTGATGTCTGAGCTTTGGGAATTTAGGCACAGACGTACCTGGAGAGAGAAGGAATCCTTCCAGTGTCTGTCACGGGCTCTTCCCCCTGCAAACCTCACCTATCAGCTGCCAGGGGGATGCTCTGAATGAAGCCACATCCCTCCCCAGGAGGACATTTTCCCTGATATTCTGGAGGTGGTGATGATTCCAGACAATCCCATTGCAATTACAAACAGCTACAACAACCACATTCCTCTGCACTGATCACCCACAGCAGGCAGGTGACACAACAGAGAGAAAAGCCACTCGAGAAAAAAACCCCATGTATTTTGTTGGTTTTTTTAACACGTGCTGCAAAAGGACTTCAGTCATCCCACAGACATTTCTAGATGGCAAAAAGCTTTTTTACATGTTCCCTGGTGCATCACATGCCACGTAGTCTGGCAGCTTTGTCGCTGGCAAGTTCAAGAAATGGATATTTTATTGATCATTTTGTCTTAACTCACTGATACAGTTATCCCTCAATCCAGGGCTTGTTATAACATCCTTCAAAGTAAGAAAGCACATGCTTTTGCTGGCCTATGCCCAGGTAAATGCAAATTTATGCAAACACATGCAAATACGTGGCTTTTTCTTTTTTCTTCAGGGGATGTTGGCAGGTTTGGAGATGTGATGTAGTGGGAAGCAATAGTAAAACAGCAGAGAGGAGGGCTGGAAAATCGAGATCTCTGCATTTCTTAAGAGCTTTTGTTCGAGTCTGCTAAAGAGTTGTTTAAACACTGCAGGCCTGTGAGACTGATGGTGCCACAGAAACTCCCACGCCCCCGAGTCAGGCAGTGGGGGATCAAGGAAGTGCTGCAGTGATTTAAGGGATCTGCCCTTCACTTCACTCCTCTGGCCCGTCAGAGAAAAGAACCTGTGCAGCGTTGAGAAACCAGCAAACCAGAATTCAGGGGGAGCACTGGGGTCGGGACATCCTCTGCCAAAGGGGTGGCAAAACATGGCTTTGCCTCCCTGAGCCAGCAGAGCCACTTCTGCCAGTGATTGCACAGCAATTCACAAATCATTTCACAGAAACACTAAGAATCTATTGAGACTCCCCCTCAGCTGAGAATGGGAATGGGGGAGCACTCCCCCATTGCACTCTGACCCTGCTGTGCACAGACCCACACGGGTTTTCTACCCTGGACGTGCCTAAAAGTCATTTCAGACCCAAAGGAATCCTGTGTCTCCTACTCAGGCTCAGGTGAGGGTTCAGCTCCCCACCCTGAGGTGTTTTCTGAGCTATTCTGTGCCACCAGAGCTGGAGATTTGGGCTGGATTAGATGTCTCAAAGAGGAATCCCTGCACTGGGAAGCACTGAGGAGCCACCCAAACCTGTGCTGCTGAGAACCTGCCCCTTGTACTTGTTCTTAAAAGCATCTGTTCTCTTTTCTTGGGGTGGGGTGAGAGACTGGCCATGGGGAGCTGCTTCAGGTTTCTCCCAAAGTACTAAGAAATGGGGTAGCAGCAGTTTGAAATAACCCTCTTTGGGGTCTTGGTTTGGATGTCCATTCCCTCAGGGGAAATACAGCCTTGGGTGACTCCTCAGGCTGACTTGACTTCTTCCATCCAGCCTTTTTCCCTCCCCTCAGGTTCCTGCATTCCCAGGGCAGCAGGATCAGTGGGAGCTGCACATCACAAAGGCTCCAGCACTTCAACCAGTACCTCTGTGCAGGACCCAACAAGAGGCACAGTTTGAGGGTGTCTCAGAGCAGCATTTCTCAACCTTTTTGTAGCCAAACCACCACCTGGTGCTCCACCACCTCCATGGGCTTCAGTTGCCACCAAATCAAAGCTTGGCTGTGCTTCAAATACGTCCTTATTCATGGAACAGCCACTTGCTTTGCCTGACTCCTTCCCTGCAGGCCAAGCATGAGGCTTATCAGTATTCTTTGGTACCAAAATTAAGTATTCAGCCATTTGAAATCTCATCTCCAGGTTGAGAAACACCGTCTTCCCACCCTGATTTAAGCCTGTAGGAGCAGGGATTTGTTGGTCAGTCTGTATGAGAGGCCTCAGGCCATCAGCAAGCTGAAGGTGAAGCCATTCCACGAATTTCAGGCAGCCTAGGATCTGGCGTTTCGGCGGCAGGAAAGGAAGGCAGATGCAACTTTCCCTTTCTTCAGCAAATGCCTGACCTGCCAAAAAAAAATGGAGAAGTTCCTAAAGCACCATCTGAACCCAAAGCACCATCTGAACCCAAAGCACACAC